CAGAATTTTTCAATTTCAGTTTCAAGAATCTCACTATCACCCACTCGCCAAGCGGGCTAAGGATTGGCCACATCACGTGTCCCGATGCAGCCTCATGCCTCGATGTCAGCATTGATGGTCTACAGTTTCTGGATGTGCCAAGGCCAATCCCTCTGACGTGTGCGAACATTCATGGCTCGCAAGTTGGCGTAGACCCTCCGGAGAACTCAGCTTGCCACATGCTGAATCTGCCTGTGGCCTTTGTGTAACACCAATTAGACAAACCGGATGCCTAACGAAGGCGTGTCGGTGGAGGAAAGACAGTGCCGTCAGTTGGCCTTTCGGATCCTTCTCCTTTGGGGCCCCACGAGCAGGCATGGCCTTGTAGTCCTATGAGACACGAGCTCACAGCTAGTTGACGCGGTCCCGCGGGAGTGCAGATAGGCTGGCACAAGCCCATTCTTGCTGCCTTCCTCGGACCCGAGATCAGCAGGGCTGTGATATGCTGCCCAACGTCATTCACAGAGTGTCCAAGGCAGTGGCCATCGGTGAACAAAAGATGATGGCTTCCCTTTGTCGAGGGAATTGTTTCATGCATCGGAGGCCCGATATTCCCTCATCCAGATCTCCCGCTCCCAGAGGTCGAGACAACGCCGCTCCCGGAACTTCACGACCATATTGAACGACACATAAGCACAATGAGTGCAGATTCGGGGAACTCTGAATCGAACCCGCCCCATTCGATGCGTTCTGTGGGGCTGATGCTTACAACGAATCCACCTTGCAGGAAGACAAGGGGCACGGGGAGCACGAACAGAAATGGAAGATGTGGGGATCCTTAGGAACCTTCGGGGCTACCCTAGGGGCTGCTGGGACCGTCTGGGGCTGTCCTGGGGCATCTCGGGAGTCGTTCGGGCATCTTGGGAGTCGTTCGAGGTCTTCATAGGTCCCCTTGCGAGCTTCTGGGGCCTTCCTGGGCGGTGTGTCTTCGGACTCTTCGGGCCCCCCTCGGGCCGCATTGGCGCCCTCTCGGGCTGTCTCGGTGCTCTCTCGGGCCGCCCGAAGGCCTCTTGGGGCGCTTCTGGGAACGTGCAGGCACTTCTTCGGGCCCCCTGTGGGGGCTTCGCTGGGCCCCCTCCAGGCCCGCCTGGGTGCGCCCAGAACCTCTCCCGTGTCGGGCGTGTCCCCCTACAGAGGGATTTTCGACGAAAAATAAAAAAACCCAAAATGCACCAAAAAGGTCAAAAAATACTCCAAACATAGTCCCCAGACTATTTACCTAACAGCGAAGACTGATAGGTTTCTAGTTGACTCAAAAGAGCTCACAGATCACTCCACAGGGGGGTCCGGGCAGGTGTTGGGGCGTTTCCGGGCGGCATGAGCCGGGCTCGTTTTTCACCAACAGTCACACACTTCGTGCTCTTCGCCTTCCCAGAACTCCATTCCCAGGCCACATTCTGGGGGGCCGGATGCAACAGTCACACACAAAGTGCTCTTCGACATCCCAGAACGCCATTCCCGGGCCACATTCTGGGGGGCCGGATGCAACAGTCACACACTTCGTGCTCTTCGAGTTCCCAGAACGCCATTCCCGGGCCACATTTTGGATGCCCGGAGCCAACTGTAGGCCACTTCGTGCTCTTCTATTTCCCAGAACTCCATTCCCGGGCCACATTTTGAATGCCCGGAGCCAACTGTAGGCCACTTCGTGCTCTTCGAGTTCCCAGAACTCCATTCCCGGGCCACATTTTTTGAATGCCCGGAGCCAACTGTAGGCCACTTCGTGCTCTTCGAGTTCCCAGAACTCCATTCCCGGGCCACATTTTGAATGCCCGGAGCCAACTGTAGGCCACTTCGTGCTCTTCGAGTTCCCAAAACTCCCATTCCTGGGCTACCAGGAGGAGGAGGGGAGGGGGAGGACTACCAAGGAGGAGGAGGAGGAGGAGGAGGAGGAGGAGGAGGAGGAGGAAGAGGAGGAGGAGGACGAGGAGGAGGAGGAGGAGGAGGAGGAGGACATTGCCGGGCAACATTTTGAATAGCCAGACGCTTCATATTCCTTCCGCCACAGCTGTGTTTGGTTCAGGACTTGCTAGTGACACTGCAGTCCTCTGCATTCAATTGGCCACTACATTCATTCACTGCAGTCCACTGAGTTTTGATTGCAATGGCGTTCCCCTGGCCGTACCCCCATGTCCAACGTTCATCCGCAGCCTCTGCTCCGCGAGGCTCGTCCGAAGTGTCGCCGCCTCGCGGTGCTTCTCAGCCTGCGCCGCCTCGCGGTGCTTCTCAGCCTGCGGAGGAAGGTGGACAGACGCCTGGTTCTGGCGCTGTGCAGCCTGCGTCTTTCACGGTCGCCTCGTTCAATTTCGGGTTCGAGCAGGGCATGATGACTGGTAAGCAGGCGGCCACTCACTGCGCTAACTTCGGAAGGTTGTGCGCCAAGATAGTGGAGACCGCTGATGCTGATATGGTCTGTGGCTGCGAGGTCGGTGCGTTCCGTGAAGGCTTTCGCCGAGCAGGGATCAACGTGACAGACATCCTCAGCAAGCCTTTCGGTGATGGCATTCGCTTCTTGGAGGTCGACAACTACTTGACTCTCTGGGGGTTCCGCGGTGCTTCTCAGCCTGCGGAACTGACTCTGTGCGAAGACAGCAAAGTTTACAGGCCTCCTAGCGGCCGAGATATTGATGCTGTTATTTCACATTTTGAGGTGAACAAACCAGGCCATGACAAGTTCCACGTGGTGATCGCCAACATGCACATCGTGTGCGGCAAGAAACCGCCGAGCATCCAGACTCGAAAGCGGACAGTTCGCCATCTCCGCTTGCACCTGGACGGCCTGGCCAAGATTCTTGAGAATCTAAACGAGGCAGTCGTTGTGCTTGTAGTCGGCGACGACAACCTCACTTTCCAGGAGGCGCGGGAGGCTTACCAGCGCGAGCAGAACGACGAGAAGGTATGGGAGGTCCATGCCACTCCGGCCGACCTCAAAGGCGACCACGTCGCGGTCTGCGGAGCAGTCGCCCGTTTCTGCTCCATTGCCGTTGGCGCGTCTTTTACGGATCGTGGCATGCGCAACGACGCACACGATGCGGTGGCGGTTGTGCTCACTCTCCCTGGTGCTATTCAGCCTGGGGAGAGCAAGAGGCGGAAAATTGTCGTCGAAAACGTCTCCGACGCCGACGTCAGCGTACAGGCGGACCGCGAGTCTTCTGTGCATTGGGATCGGTCGCCGAGTTCTGCTCCTCCGCTTTCACCGACTTCACCGGGTGATCCCGACTACGTCGAGGATGTCGTTCAGAATCGCGCGGACGACTTGCACAGGGAGCTGAGGAAGCTTTGGGACGACAGGTACGACGAGGAGTACGATCCGAAAGTCCTCCATCATCTCAGTCTCTTGCTTTTCAAAAAGAGGAAGTCCACGGAGCCAGCGGACACTGATCCAGCTGGCGCTCCTCAGCCTGGCTCGGAATATGACGCGGCCTTTGCGTCTCAGGAGGAGACTGGCCGAGCCATTCTCTCTGTCCTTAAGCTTCGACATGACTTTCTGCGGAGCAAGAACATCGACGACATGCGCTACGTTCTCACGGAGCCTGAGCGCCAGGAATTGGTCAGAGTAGCTCGCGACCAGTACGAGCAGTCGCGGCAGCAGCGTGCGCTTCAGGAACGGGATATCGAAAAGGGAAAAGCGAAAGGCAAGTCTGCGCCACAAGGGGGCCATGCGGTTCCGCAGGGTCCGAACAAAGGGCCAGGCGGTAAGAAAGGTTCTCACGGTGCTTCTCAGCCTGCGGGAAAAGGTGGCCAGGCCAAGGGTGCAGGTCTGGGTAGCGTCGCCAAGTTTGTGAAAGACCAGAAGCGTAAGCGGTGGCATCGCCATTTGCAACGTGTGGCCGGTACTAAACAGATCTGGGAGGTGCTGGCCTTCTCAGGGCGCTTCGACGTTGATTGGTTAACGCAAGCGTTGCAAGCTGATCACAGTGAGGGCCGTGATGCAGCAGTTCCCGAGGAAGCTCTGCGGCAACAGCGGCGCCGGCTGCGCCACCAGAAGGCCGAGGCCATCGCGCGCTACAACGAGGGGGAGCGGCTTTCCCTATATCTGTCAGCCCAGGCTGGCCAGGCAAAGCCGAACTTCACGCGCAGGCAGCAGGACGTGTTGCAGATGTTTGAGAGCGGAGCGCTGCTTCAAATCCGCAACCAAGCGATTCTGGCGTGCGGGCGCGGCCGTCTGTTCAGGGGCGATGGCGACTACCTGGACATCGGCGGCAGCACGGGCGGTGGCTCCAGGCGCATCATCGATTCTTGGCAGCCGCCGGACTGGCGTGACTTCCTCCAAGACGATCAGGACATCTGAGTTTTGCAAGTCTCTCTGCCCGCGGTGCTTCTCAGCCTGCGGTCTGCCGCTCTCCAGCTGCGGTCTCGAGCAGTAGTGTTCGAAAGCATGCGAGTTCCTGCGGTGCTTCTCAGCCTGCAGGTTTCGCAGCCTGCGCTCTGCAGTACAAGTGCTTTTCAGCATGCGACATCCTGCGGTGCTTCTCAGCCTGCAGGGTTCGCAACGTGCGGTTTGCAATGCATTCCTTTTCAGTATGCGAGTTCCTGCGGTGTTTCTCAGGCTGCAGGGCTCCGAGGCTCTTCGCTTCGATGCCATTGTTTTCAGACACCGTAGCTCCGTTCCGTAAACGTCTTCCAAGAGCCGCTCGCAACCTTTTGCAGCTGGCTGTCTGCACGCTTCGCCGGCTTTTGCTGCGCGGACACTTTTCACACACACGTCAGCGCCGTTTGTAGGCGTCAGAAAAACATGTAGACATTCACGAAGGGCTCAGTCTGTATATCGTCACATCATTACATACGCAGTCGTCGAACACATCGGTGTACATTCAGCGCTTTGTCCTTCTAGCTGGGTTGCTTCGTGCTGAGGCTGAGGCTGATGCAGGCTGAGGCTGAGGCAGGCTGAGGCTGAGGCCGAGGCTGACGGCAGACTGAGGCTGAGGCTGAAGCAGGCTGAGGCTGAGGCAGAGGCAGGCTGAGGCTGAGGCTGAGGCTGAGCTGAGGCTGAGGCTGATGCTGAGGCAGGCTGAGGCTGAGGCTGAGGCTGAGGCTGCAGGCTGAGGTTGAGGCAGTCTGAGGCTGAGGCCGAAGCTGAAGGCAGACTGATGCTGAGGATGAAGCAGGCTGAGGCTGAGGCTGAGGCAGGCTGAGGCTGAGGCAGGCGGAGGCTGAGGCTGAGGCAGGCTGAGGCTGAGGCTGTGACTGCGACTGCCGTTGCCACTGCGACTGTCATCGCGAATGCGACTACGACTGCGAGAACAGCAGAACTCTACAACTGGATTCTCATTTGAATCTTAAGGGGAATGCTTCCAGATATGCTCCTACACATCGCTGTTAGGTTGCTTTGCCGGGATAATTTTTGATTATTTAATCGCTTCGCTCATTCCGCCGGCCCATACAGTCTCATGTCTGCCGTTTGCCCGAGGGCCTGGTGTCAATGCGGCGCTTTGGGGGTTCTTTTGCCAGGCGTCTCCAGAACCTCTTGGAGGCAGTGTTGAAGCCTCTTGAGGCCCCGTAAGGGCCGTTTGGGGGTCGTTGGGGCTTCTTGTTGGGCTTCTTGGGTGGTTCTTGGGGCGTCTTGGGGGACTTATTGGCGGGATGTTGGTGGCTTCTGAGGTGCTCCTAGGGGCAGAATCCCCCTTTGG